GCTGTTGGAGGAGGAGGAGGCAGCAGCAGATATTCTGGTGGCGGTGGGGGCTTTGGGGGTTCACTTCAGCTGCAAGCGGCTAGGATTGGCCGCCCACAAAGGACCTCCCCGGGCTTGCTTTGCTCACCACAGGGCGACTGATGCTAGTTTGAGTGGCCGCACCCCGCGCAAACTACCGTCAGTCGCTCTGTGCTCATCAAAACAAGTCTGGGGGGGTCCTTTGCGGGCGGCCAGCTCTAGCCGCCTGCAAAGGACTTCCCCGCGTTTGCTTTTGTGGGGCGACTGACGGTAATGAGCGGCGCAGCCAGCGCCTAGGAGGTCCTAGGAGACCGGCTGTGCTGTGTAAGCTCCTGCCGCTGTTCCCCCACCCCCGCGCCGTGGTAACCCTAACCAAGACAGAAAATCTGAGGCCCCTCAGCTTCCCGAGCCTGTGACAGAAATCACTGCGCGGCAGTTAGAAACTGCTGTGTGGTGTTTTCATGCCATGTGCGCGGCCGCGCAGCCGCGCATCTTAGAGGGAACAGTGCATAGAATGCTGTTACCTTCTCACCGAAGTGGTATCTATTTATCTACTCACATTTGCATGCTTTTGCACTGCTAGCTTGCAGGTGTTGGGCAAGTAATGAGAGCTCACCCAATTGCCTGGTGCTCGTGTATTGAACCTGGGCTGTCAGCTTTCCAACTGGCAAGCTCAGTGTTGAACTGTTGAGCCATCATGTCCTTTGAAACTTGAAACTTTGAAACTTGAACTAACTTGCACACTCCTATTTGAAAGAAAAATTGCTTTGCTTGATATTCCATGCTACATTGTTAACTCTGCTGCCTGAAAGTAAAACTGATAAATGCCCATATGTGTGTATGTGGCTGAAACCTGAAAAAGGATACATCTCACCAACTCACCCATAAAAATTGTTCAAACATATGGAAGAACTATCCTTCCAAGCATGTGGAAGCATCTTTGTCTGGAAACAGTAAGTTTTGGTTATTTTGCGCCCCACCAGTGGAAACAAGGAAAGGGATGTAGAAATTACAGTATGCCTGTTAAAATAAATCAGGGTCCTAATTTAACATTTGCTTTTTATTTCAGTCTGGATTCCAATCGAGTGATTCACAGCACTGCTGGAAGGCTATTGGCCTTTGGTTCTTTAGATCGAAAAGTCCACTTTCTAGATATAGAGAAGATTAAGAATGTCCCTCCTGTCTTCACTGGGCATGCTGGTAGTATCAGAGCCTTGTATCTCCATGAAGAGAGAGGATTCCTCCTGAGTGGCAGCTATGATCTCAGTATCAGGTGAATGCTTTTAATGTCTTTTCTTTATCCCAGGACAGTTTAATCTGCCTTTTCCAGGAGTTAGTTTCCATTTTTGGGGTGGGGAGTTGAATGTTGATACAACAACGAGGAAGATCAGCTTGTTTTATTCTGGCTATATAATAGTTTTTTCAGTTTCTGTTTGCATAGTGTTTGTTTACCATTTTCTTGAACTTTTTTTTAGAATGTGGAACATCAGAAAAGGAACCTGTATGAAGATTTTTCTGGGGCATAAAGGGAATATCACTTGCTTGGATGTGTGCAAGTTCAGATTTGTGTCTGCATCCAAAGACTGCACAGCAAAATGTGAATATCAGCATTAATCCCTCTTAGAGAAGTGGGGGGGGGAATCAATGACTTCAGCTAAAATGCTAAAGTTGGTAAAGTAAGAAACTAGTAAGTTGTATGATAAAAGAAGACTTGCTTGACAATGAGCCAATCATGACTTTTTCCAACATAAATCAGAAGCATGTTCTCCGGTGGTGGGTTCCTAACTGGTTTACTACCAGTTCACTGAGACGGCATTTTGCGCTCGCACGTCCCCCCCCCTCACTCATTGCTGCGCATGCGCAGTTGACTGAAAACTGTTCTGCTCATGTGCAGAAACATGGCGGTGACAGCAGAAGAGACTGGGGAATCAGTTCGGGACATGGCAGGCCTGGGCCACTGCAGGTTCCAGCGACCCAGGCTGCTATACCACTACCGGTTCTGTCCAACCGGTCTGAACCGGTAGGAACCCATCACTGATGTTCTCAGCCCAAGGGCTACACTAGGCTTAACGTACCATGCTGAGAACAACACTCCAAAAGTCAGTGGGGCCTTATTTCCCTAGCTTAAAAATCCTACTTGGTTCATTTTTCAGCTATGGTGGTGCAATGGTTAGAATGCATTAGTGCAGACTACTTCTGCTCCCTGCTGACTTGGACATCATATTCTGAACCACTCACTCACAAAGGTTTAACGTAGTATAAGCAACCTAGCAGTGCATTTCTCAAATAGATAAAACACAATTCAGTGAATATAGATAAATCACACCCCTCTGATACATGTGATGTATAACCTCCCAGATAAGTCTCACTGATGTTTTTCTATCTTGGACTGAGCCGCATTAAATGCATTGAAACTTAACTTCTGAGTAAACAGGATGAGCAACGTGCTAAGAAATCTTCTTGTGTTTTTTACAGTGTGGGACATGAGAACTGCGCGATGTATTAAAACTTTCAATCACAAAGCTCATGTTTGGGCTGCTAAAATGAATGAGGTTTATATTGTGAGTTCCTGTGACAAGGGCCTCGTGAAAGTTTGGCATGCTGAGTCATATATACTAATCAAGGTATGAATTTTCCAAAAGATTGGCCCAATTTATTTCACATTTAAACTCAGGTAAGTAACCAACAGTGCAATTGTACCTACAAACTGACAAGAGTACAGGAAAAATCAGAAAGTGCTTAAAATATATTTCAATGCAAAGTCCCCTTAGGCATCATGCTATAAATTAGACATGCCCAGGAGAGATTGGTCTTAGCCCTGAGTCAATTCTCCACTAGTAATTTAAATCCTATTCAGTCCCCTTTAAAGTGGTACAAAGTCTGTCTTCATTACTGTTATTTATCAAAAGCTGGATGGATACTTCTATAACATGATATATAAATCACTAATTGGGAAATAATCTTGAGATCTTGTTTGTAGAGTTTTGAGATTCCCGTGATACTCTAGGATTTCTTCTTACACGAGAAAAGTTTTCAAGCAAGCAAACAAATCCCCCCCCCCAAAATAAATAAATAAATAAAAACTTGGTAAGATAATCATCAAAAACAAGTTAAAAGTTTTTTAAAGTTTCATCTTGAAATCTTAACATATAATATTATATGATATAATGATATAATGTAAAGATATTTAAGGAGTAAAAAAAAGCAGTATTTCATTCTTGTATCAGAGCAACCTAAAGGCTGGCTCAAAAAGAAATCAAAAGAATTACTTTACCTTTTCTATTTTTTCTCTCTAACAAAGTCAATGATTAATATTATATTATAATAATATGAACCCTCAGGGCTCATTGTTCTTTAGCAAGGCTTGTTCTTCTCAAACATAATTCATTTTATGTGGAACATATATACTCCTGTGGGAATAAGCATGTGTAACTCACTTTGTGAGTTATATCTGCTGGGGATATTTTTTTATTAACTCTGTAACTGAAATACATCATGATGGGATAGAGACACTTATGGCCATAGTTATACAGCATTGCTATTTATGCTAGTGTACACCAACCTTGGCAACTTGCTGGCTTGGGAATTCTGGGAGTTGAAGTCCAAATATTTTAAAATCGCCAAGGTTGAAAAACACTGATTCATACTCTGTTATTCCAGTTTAAGACTCAGTTTAAGAGTTTATTCCAGTTTATTCCAGTTTAAGAGTTGTTATTGGATCTTACATCTAACATCTTTTTATTTTCTACAGGGAATATCTGATAAACATTTTACACACAATAAATAGAAATCATTCAAAGCTTTAGAAATGTTTCTTATACAGTATACTTCTGAGCAGGAAAAACAATATCACTCTGGTTATTTTGTAATCCAATAAAGAGGCTAGCCTTAGTGACATTTGGGAGAGAGGCTAGCAAAAGAAATCTATGGAAAGTCTTTCACAGTTTTAGCTTCAATATTCACTGGCAAAATAAGCAATCAGCCACAATCAAATCAAAGTACTATATCAAAAGTACACAAAGAGAAGCCTCCCCCACCCCTCTTCTTCCTCCTCCTTTTACAGGTTTTAGAAGGTCATCGAGGTGCTGTAAAATGTTTGTCATTTGATGAGTGGCATCTTGTGACAGGAAGCAGTGATGGATATATTTTGGCATGGAGCATGGTGGGAAAACACAAGCGATGTCTAATGGCTTTCCGACATCCCAAGTAAGTCTTTTTAATATAAAATACAGTTTGCATTTTAAACTGTACCAATCACTCTATTAAAGAACCATTGTGTTCTTTGAAGCCACTGGGGAAGATATTTTGAAACCATGAAAGAGGGAGATAAATCTTGAAACCATTGAGAAAGGTAGTCTTCTGGCATGAAGGAAGTTATTTTCATTCTGGCTAAATGAAAGATGCAGTCAAGGTCATGATGACCCAGAGACTGAAGACTGGAACCAGATGAGAAAAACAGGGACAGGCTCAGCTATTAATTCAGAAGCCATCTGATTCAAGGATTATGCCAGTCCTGACGCTGACTATGGTTCTGGAAGAAGAGGCCTGCAATCTAGGAGTATTCAAATCAGATGGAGGTCATGACCAGTAACTATATAGCTGATAACCCCGGCATTGCCTGGGTATACACGTCAAAACGTTTGTCTGACAGGGAGCCATTGAGAGGGGCCTTTCTTCCCCCTATTCCCATGCCCATTATCCCTGTCCTCTCTTTTTCCCCTCCCATGCGCTCCTCTTTTCCGCCCTGTCTACAATCCTGGCACATTGCCCCAAATCCATCAGGCGTTTCCCCATTGGTCCACTGGAGGGTGAATGCCATGGCTGGCTTTCCAGAGGAAGCTGCAAAGGAACTGACATCAAAAACACTTGCTGATCTAAGATGCCACATTCGCTCTCCTTACACACACACACACACACACCAGGGGTATCTTACACCCCACCCCAGTATTTTTTTTCCTGAGGGTAAGTCCTAGGTGTACCAAGTGTGGTTGAAATTGTTCGAGGCGCTCCAGAGTTATGCTGGAACGTATGTATGTATGTATGTATGTATGTATGTATGTATGTATGTATGTATGTATGTATGTTACATAAAATAATG